GCCATTTCCTCTTCTTCGGACGGACGGACGGATGCGTTGCTTTGTTCATCGTCATCGTCGGCCATTTCCACTTCTTCGGACGGACGGACGGATGCGTTGCTTTGTTCATCGTCACCGTCCGATTGACGGATCGACGCATCGCCATCAGAAACGTCGCTATCAGAATGGTCGAATTGTTTCTTCATGGCCTTAGTTTGGAATTCGGTAGCTTCAATCGGGGCTTTGCGCTTGCTTGCAGACGATGTAGCACCAGATTTCTGCTTATCCTTATCTTCAGTACGGACGGACGACGGTGCATCTTGCTTGTTTGTTGTCTTTACTGAAGACTTCTTGGCCTTTGACTTATCTTTTTCGCCATCCTCACGGACCGACGATGTTTTTTTCTTCTTTCCTGGAGATTTTTCGACTTTGGATTCACGCTCGTCATTCCAATCTTTACGCAGCGATGGTGGTTCATCTGGTTTCTTTTTCGGAGACTTTTCGGCCGGACGGACGATGGAATCGTTTGACTTGTCGGCGTTTGACTTTGCCTTCGACTTCTTATCTTCTTTGCCATCCTCACGGACAGACGGTGGTGTTTCTTTCTTCTTTCCTGTAGACTTGTCGACTTTGGATTCACGCTTGTCGTTTCCATCTCTACGCACCGACGGTGATTTCTTTTTCGGAGACTTTTCGGCCGGACGGACGATGGAATCGTTCGACTTATCTTCTTTGCCATCCTCACGGACGGACGGTGGTGTTTCTTTCTTTTTTCCTGTAGACTTGTCGACTTTGGATTCACGCTTGTCGTTTCCATCTTTACGCACCGATGGTGGTGCACCGTGTTTCTTCTTCGAAGACTTTTCGGCCGGACGGACAATGGTATCGTTTGACTTGTCAGCGTTTGAATTTGCCTTCGACTTCGACTTCTTATCTTCTTTGCCATCCTCACGGACGGACGATGGTGTCTTCTTCTTCTTTCCTGAAGACTTGTCTTTTTGTTTTGAGGATGATCCACCGGACGATTCTCCACCAGACGCACCACTTCCCGAAGGAGTTAACTGTACCTTCACATTCGAGACGAAATCAGTCCTGGAAATTGAAGAAAATATTGAATAAATGCTCAAATAATGAAAAAATATCAATAATTTAAAAAATTGCATAATAAATAATACAAACCAATAGTTATTGTCCCACTTGTTTGGCAGGATGGAACCAACTTGACCTCTGGTGAGTTGCCCCAACTTGCGCGAGTACATTGATACTTGTGTGACTGCGGTGGTGATGATAGCTTGTTGTTTGCTAGTCAGCATGATTTCGTTGAAGAAATAGTCGGCATTATCTTCATCCTCCTCTTCTCCTTTGTCATGTCGTTGCAAATACTTCTTCACGCAAGCATGGAACCGCACTTTTGAATTTCCGCCTTCTGTTTCCACATACATAATTTGCGAACATTTCTTGCAGATGTAGCAATGTTGTACGTATTTGCCTTGTTGATCATATACGATATCAACGATATCATACATCGCGGCCCGAAGTTTGGGTTTGTCACGATTTGTCACCGCATGACGATACACCGTACCATCAAGGAGAAAGTCAACTAACTCCTTATTGTTTTGAACGCGTAAACCGCTTGCGTTTTCTGTAAAAAAGGAAGCGGAGATTTACATTTTCAAATTGAAGACACAAGAATATGGCAATTAAACTAGAATTACTACTATCAATTTCGATTTTATTTTGTATTCTGATTGAACGGACGGACGGACTCAATCTTGCGATCTCTCTTATCGTGTTTCATAATAATATTCGGCGATACACCGAAACGTAAAGAATGGAATTTCATGCGAACAATTACATGGCAGCTACATCCATGATCGGAAAAACTTGTGTTGCACACACAGTGAGACAGAGAGAGACTCGCACACAGCGAGAATATAACGCCATTTATACAGCAATGGAATGTATAAAAATATTTGCGCTGCCCGTTTTCATGCAAATGGATCATACTGTCGCTAAATAATTATCGAATGAAAGAGCACCAGCAAATGTCCAACATCTTCAGAATAGACTCAGGAACAAGAACAAAAATTAATTATTCACTCGATGTTTGGCGGTTTGTTATTCATGGAGTATGTTGATTGTTTCTTGACTTCTAAATGGACGGACGAATGCTACGAAACAGCAATAAAAACAGTATTTGAAGCTCAGGCATTGAGGCAAGCACTGAATAAGTCAACAAGGTGCCAATCAATTTTGCAATTTTTTCGGGCTTAATTTGATGTTATTTTTGTGAATTTTGCAAAACGGTGCAATTGCAATTGTTTTTTCAATGGAAAGAACTGAATTGTGACGACCACCAATGTTGCAAAGGTTTTCATGCGAGTAATATGAATGTTTGTCATGCAAAACGAAAACCACTACGAAAACTAAATGAAAAAAAAAACTAATTGACTCTCCAAATTTCTGGAAATCGGACACAATCACAATCGAATGAACACCAAATGATCTTAGTTTCATTCTCTCGAGTCGAAATTGCCGTGGATTCATCAAAAATTGAACGCCAAACAAGCCACGAAAAAAAACAAAATGGCTACCACGGCAAAAAAACCAATCGAATGAAGAAACGGGAACCAAATTTTCATGAACAAAAACCAAATTTTCAAACAACTTACATTCATTTCATACTTACTATTCATTTTTGATTTTTATGAACCACGTTTTTTCACTGTTTTGAATGTTTTTTTTCTTTTTGTGCACCCTGATAGATTTTTTTTGTCTGTACCGTTTCAGCAGAATACTAAAAATGCGACCACAAAAGTGTGCGCAAGACAAACGAATGTTCTCATCTTAGCCGCATTGACCGGCGTTCACACTATCGAATCTGTGTGACTGTACACAACGTGTTTGTATGCGTGAAGAAAGTAACAAGTGCGGATGAACAAAAAGGGCTCTTAAATCGAACTACACAAGTGGTAACAAATCAAACGCCGATCTCTTCGCCATTTCACTCTCTCTCTCTCTCTCTCTTTCTGTTTCGCTATATTCTTCTGTTGTTTGCTGCCCGAGCCATATTGCACACACCGCTGGCCGCGCAACAACGAAATAGTTAGGGCGAAACACACACACACAGAGAGAGAGAGTGATAGCTCCATGTATCGGCATTTCATTTGTTTAACCGCTTGTGTATTGGTTCGATTGAAGAGTGCGCGTTTTTCACTTGTTGTTTTTTTCACACATACAAATACAGATTAGCCGACAGATTCGACACTGTCAACGCCGGTACAATGTGAATGTTGCCGCTTCTGTGCTCTTTTAGTGTTTTACTGAAACGGTACAGAAAAAAAAACTAAGAATGCAAAACCGGGCATTACAGATAACGGCGTGTGAATGTTGCCGCAAACAGGTTGGATGCATGGCCGAAAAATCTAATTGACCGTAATTTTGGTCCATTTTGTTTGAAAAAAAAGGAGAACGAAACCGAAGGCACACAATACATTCCAACCGAATGTGTCACATTCGTTCGTTGTTTTTTTTTTGCTTCAGAACTTTCCTTTTGAAATCAATGCTCAACTTCAGTTTATTTTGAATAACACATAACAGCCCGAGCTGTTGTCAATTGGACTAATGAGTCCAGTGAATGAGTTTTTTTTAGTCGAGCGCAAAATAGGCCTCTCTTCTGAATTGAAACACACAATATTTTTCCAAAATATTGGAGCCTTAAATTTGAAATTGCAAGTTGTGTGGCATCGAGTATCTGCTTGAAATTAGTCATTTTTTCGTTCAGTTTGGAATTGATTGGTAAAACTGCACGTAGAATAAAATAATAGACTTAGAATTCGAAGAAAATGGATTCATCTCAAACTGGTTTCGTTTGTGTTGTTTTTTTTTCAACACGAAATAGTTTCACTTAGATTTAATTGCAGCTTTATGTTTGTGTAATATTTTCACTTTTAAGCCAAATATCTTCTTTCTGGTTTGCTGATTCAAAAATTTGGATCTATTTTTCAATAAAACTAAAACATATGATGCAATTCATTAAATATTTTTTTCTTTTTTTCACGACGACAAATGAGACAGAAGTTTCTCTTTTATTTTTTTCTACCCAATTCTCCCTTCTCGCTGTCTATGGTCATTTGCAGCAGCATCACTCGAAATCGAGATTGGTGGTGGTCAGACGGACAACATAATGAAAAGTCTGAACGATTTGAAACACGATAACATGCAACACATTTGGCTCTCATTGCGATTCAGTTTCAAGCAAAGTAATGAATGTGACATCATTGAAACTGAACTGACTTTATGCATCATTCGAATATCGGGCTTAATTATTCATTCGAAAGCGATATTTATATATATAAGTGCCCGATGATTGTTTTCTTGAAGTAGATTAAACAGTAACTTTCGATGAAACGCAGTTATTCGTCAGAAGCGAGACGGAACATTTTCGACCCGTATATTGTTTGTGGTTTCGATTGGAATATCGCATAGGCCGTGAGCAGCATCCATAATTGCACTTTCAAGCCATTGACTTGATTTTGTTCAGATTTCATTGGATTGTGTAATAAGTTCCCGGACTGAAGGACGGACGGACATTTGAGCGTACTATCTGTCCGTCTGCAAACTTATGACCACCAATCTGGTGTGTTTCATCAACGCAATCACTGCAGATATTCATAAGCATGCCCATTGCTTTGATTCGCAAACAATGGACTGTGAAAGAATCAAAATTACGCATTATTTGCAATTCGCAAATTTCCGATAAAAAAAATGAACATGATAACATTCGTCGTGTGTATTTCGCCTAAGAAGTGAAGAGTGAATCAGATGAAACTATTTGTTGGTGTTCCAAATAAGATGGGCAATTCAATTCACTATTTGCATTTCAAATCGCTTATTTTGAACGTGATGGATAACAACAATTTGTTCGCTTTGATTAGATTGTGTGTAAACTTTATTCTTATGAACAGTTTGGAAGGCAATCGAAAAGAAATAATTTGTTCAATTTTTTCTCTTTAGTAAATTTATTCTGTGTCCGTCGAATGAACAGCGTTACTCGAAATTGATGACATAGCCGTTTGGTTTTTAATCGAACCGAATTGTTTTTATGGAAAGACAAACAATCAAGCGATCTTTTTAAAACCAAACAAGAAATTTCTCGCTGAGCCAAAATCAAACAAAACTAAACAAATAAACATTTGCTGTATGGTTACATTTGATTTTGTCAAAGCGCTTAAAATCGAACAAAACATGGACAATCATTACAACAATCGTTCCATTGTTTTTCGACGATGTGGCAGTTATAAATCGAACATACAAATTTGTCATTTAACAGACTCCTGCTTGCAGCAATTCACCGTTGCGTCCTATGTAAGTGATTCGTTTGCTCAAAAAAAAAAACAGTGAATAGGAGTGAGAAAGAGAGAGAGAGAGAGATGATCATAAATGAAAGAATATATTTCCAACCAAAATAAAACCACTATTTCCTCTCGAACTATGAAATATCGAATACATCGTTTGTCACTGAAACAAGAATAAAACGCTTGAGCGTTATTTTCACTTTCATTTCTACTTACATCGATCGTATATATAGCTGCAAGTTCCCGTGCCACTTTAAAGTGGCTCGACATTTCAAGTGTCTTTGCATCGAATAAGCGTTCATCAAAAAATGAATAGAATAAGAAGAAAATCGCCCGATGCAACGGAATAAATTAAGAACAAAACACAAAAAATAACGAACAAAGAAATCCCAACTGATATCTGTATCTCTCATTCATACAGTGGAACAGCGCTGCTTATATATGCAATATATTGAAATGTTGGCGTGTATGGCTTGGAACATGTTTTCGATGAAAAAAAACGGAATACAAAAAACAATATTTTCCATACACATTGAAAATTGCGAAAAAAATGGTTTGGTTTTAGCATCAGTCTCAGAAGCAGCACCGTTTTTTTCTTTCTCTCTCGTTCGACCAAACGATTTCGATCTGCAATGCACTACTTTTGGATCAAACGGAATGATTTCAACCAATTCGTAGTCGTTATACATATAATAGAACCGAAAACCGATTCTATGAGCAAAAATAGGGCGCAAGCATATATTACTCGAAAAATATTTATGTATAGGGAAAGTATGTAAGCGTGTGTATTCTGTCTCTTTTCGGCCTGTGTTGCCACAGTCATAGGATTTTTTTTTTCGCTACATAAAATCATTGTCATTGTTTTTGTTGTCAACTTTGTATGCAAGTAGGAGATTTCGGATCAAACGAAATGATTACAAATATTACTCAAAAAATGAAATATTTATGCATAGAGAAAGTATGTATCAGATTCATTGACTTGCATATGAATGGTACAACAACAATATGTCAACGCGCGCAAACATGTTCAGCTGTGTGCTGTCATAAACAAAGCATACATCACTCTCTCTCTCTCTCTTTCTGTTTCGTCCTATTATTCTGTTGCTTGCTGCCCGACCACTGACCGCGCAACAAAGAAATATGTATGGCGAAACAGAGTGAGGGAGAGAGAGAGAGAGAGAGGGAGAGTGATAGCTAAATGTATCGGCATTTTATTTGTTTAACCGCTTAAACCGTGTATTGGTTCAGTTGAAGAGCGCGCATTTTCCACTTGTTGCTTTTCCACGCATACAACTACAATTAGGCCGACAGCTTCGACAAAACTGTCAACGCCGGTACAATGCCGCTTATATGTGAATGTATAACTGTTTGCCGTATTTTTTAGTCGAGCGCGAAATAGGTCTCTTTTCTTAATTGAAATACACAATATTTTTTCAAAATGTTGAAGCCTTACATTTGAATTTGAAATGAGTTTTGAAATTGATTGGTAAAACATGCACGTAAAATAAAATAATTGACTTAGAATTCGAAGAAAATGGATTCATCTCAAACTGGTTTCGTTTGTGTTGTTTTTTTTTCAACACGAAATAGTTTCACTTACATTTAATGGCAGCTTTATGTTTGTGTATTAATTAATATTAAGATTGTGTAACGTTTTCCACTTTTTATACCAAATATATTTTCAACAAAAAATCCGGCATCTATCAATAAAACATACGATGCTATTCTGTAAATAATTTCTTCTTTTTTTTCACTTCGAAATGCTGACATATAAGAAAGAATTTTCCCTTTTATTTTTTTCTACCCGTTTCTCCCTTCTTGCTGTCTATGGTATTTGGTTTTGAGAATGAAGAAAAAGGTGCCTTTTGTTCATACGGATAAATTGAAACTTTCGATTACGCACTTCGAATTTTTTTTCTTTCGATTTTTCTTAGATATATCAATCACGAGCACAAAATCAGTCGCAGTACCGTTTTTTTTCTTTCTATCTCTTTCTTTTCTCGGAAAATACTTCAATAGAAGAAATATGTTGCACACAAAACCCCTATGTGCACTTTCTTTGAAAATCCAAAAAAAATTAGACTTACTATTCATGTTGTTGATTTTTTTTCAATTCACTTTTTTCACTCGTCACAACGATGTTTTCTCGTTCAAATACAAAACACAACAAAACGTCAACGCGCGCGGATATTTGGAAGAAAATCTATGTTTGTGTGCGTTATAAATAAAGCATTCAGAAATCTCTCTCGTGCGGCGTGTATTCGACCGAATGTACAGTGCCGCCGCTTAACGGTTAAAAAAATTTAGATATAGTAGTGATGCTTTCACACTTCCTTGTGAACGAGAGTGTTATGACGTCTCGCTTGTGTATGAGTAAGACACATCATACTCTCTCATACAACGGGTCAAGTCAACTTGTTGCTCGCACACAAGTGAGACGTTGGAACACTGGCAAGTGTGAAACCACCGCAGACTACATCTCACAGTTTTCAATTTGGTCGAAATGATGCCGCTCGAGAGAGATTCCTATATGCTTTGTTTATTACGCACTCAAACATAGATAAAAATGTTCGCGCTCGTTGACATAATGCTGTCATTTGCATTTGGGCAACTAATTAGTACTTAGTTTTTTTGAAGCGCGTGAAAACCAACGGAACAAGGTGGGAGAATAAAAAAGACTCTCTATGATGCATTTTAATTTGCTCTTTTTTTCAGTTTTTTTCATGTGCGAGCCCATGACTTATTCTCTCAGCTTATATGTGATGTGATTGTCTATTGCTGTTGCTGCTGTTTTTTTTTTACCGTTGCTTCAAATTGTCTTGTCTTTGTTGATGACGATCGACGTTGCTAGACACCAAAAAAAATCGCAACGATGTAGTCAGAACAACACACGCACAATCACCTATTTAAGATAGGATTTGCGCCATTTTTTTTCTCTTCTCTGATTGGTCTTTTCTTTGCTGCCACATATAGATACAATAGCGCCGAAAACCTTCACTTTGAAGCTGTGTGCTCTTAGCAATAAACTCGGAGATGAGATGATTATTACAATTATCAATCGCATTTAGAGTGTTGAACGAGCTGTGTACCGAATTCATAGCGGTGAAATAAATTGCCGTCAATGATGAAAAACATTACATTCTATACAGTGATTTTGACAATATAACACTGGTCCATCGATTGAAAGCGATTTTTATTCAGAATTTCTTTGAAATCTTCTGGGTTTTTCTCATCCGGGGTAATTTCAACAAGGTAAATTTTTCATAAATATTCTATGTTTTAATTTCATCGTTTCAATGTTTATCGGGACGAACCGTTCGTTCGTTCGTTCATTCTGTCGCGCGTCATTTTGGAGTTTTTTTCTCCTTTGGTTGAAATTAAATTCGATCGAGAAGTAGCTCCCATTGAAATAATGTTTATAAAAAAGAATACATTTTCGTTTGTTAATCGCGTCGGTTGCTGTTAAAAAAATATGCCTAATTTTCTACGGCAAATATAAAATAATGCCCATTTTGATGACTAATTTCAGTCAAACGAATTTAGTCCGTCCGTCCAAGTTGTGATAAAAAATGTATAGCGGTATTTCAAGCATCAATATTATAAAATATAGAAATAAATCTTGACAGAAATTGTGAACCTAATCTAAAACTTACCTGGAGGTACATAGAGTAAGCCAGTGTTGTCAGGCCAATTAATTTTTCAATGATTTCTTCTGCGATTTGAACAACTTTACTTGAACTATTTTTAACACTCCACTTATGATCACTCACTTTTTTTTGCCATAATGGAAATTTAAAAAATATATCGATTTAATAACAATGGTATGAGTAAAGTGAATTCCCGAATACATATCCGTCCGTCTGTCCGTTTTGCCGAAATCGCTTTGCTTCTCTCAAAATAAACTGTTTAATGGTCGAAAGGTGCAACGATATTCAGTCGAACTTCTTGATTTCTATTCTCAATAAATCAAAAAAATATTAGACGTCTTCAATTCTAATAATGTATAATTTTATAAAATCGAAACGCTTTTCTTAAAATTTCAACGTTTCTTGTTGAAACGCTTTTGCTGCAGAGGAAACTTCAATTCATGAATGACTGGAGCAAATATGCGATAGATGGACGGACGCGATGAAAAAGTTTCGTCTGTGTCATAACAATCAATAACATACAATTTTTTTTCAAAGCAGTTGTTGTTTTTACGAATCTTGGGAAAATCATACTTTTCTACTGATGGAGTGTGAGGTGGTAAAAGGTTTTCGTGATGGTTCTAATTTGCTATACGTACCATCCGAAAAAAAATTATATCGATTGAAACGCAAACGAAAGAATGGTGAATCAGATTATATATGCTATCAAGATGTATTATCGAAACCAACGAAAAACACACCTGCAAGAAAAGAAGATCGCAATCCTTGTAACGCCCGTGTCCGTTTGCTTACTGGTGGAGAACAATGCAAAAGGGTGAATAGTCGTCATTCCCATCACCATAATCACGAGCATATTATGCGTGATATGGAAAAATTCAACGAAATGAAAGAAAAGTGTGAGACTTTAAAAAATGACTATCCGGAAGATGCGTCAAAGATTTCTACAAGAAATATTTATCAAAGAGTGATCAAGAAGTATGTATACATCCGTTTGAATTAATGGTGTCAAAATGATAAAATTTGTCTGTTCGTCCGTCCTTCATTTCAAGGAAATCCTCAAAAATGATGGACGAATACACAAAAATTGCATTCAAACCGTTTTGAAAAAACGAAAAGTACGGAGGACGAAAAGGAAAAGACAGTTTTGTGTCCGTCCTTTTGACACCTTTAGTTAAGATGATAAATTGTCCACTTGTCCGTTCGATATGAAATGTTTCGATTAGAGAACAATCAAGTGTTAGTAAAAGCAAATGTCAGAAAAGTAAATTTACTATTTGAATTTGAAGGGATGGATTTCGAAACACTCAACTGAACTATCATCGGATCAAACAAACGTTGTCGCTACATAAAAATAAAACCTATCCTAAGGATCCTGGTACAGTGGAGGGCATACGCGAAACATTCTTGCAACAGGATATTCTGAAAGAATATGGTTGCAACTTAGAAGGCGATGAGGATTTCTACATAGATACTGTAGTGGAAATGGAATTTGCATTCACAGTTTTTGCCTCCAAATTCGTCATCGATTTCATTGACAAAAATATCAAACCAAAGTCTCGTTCATATTTAATGGATGGTACTTTCGATTCTATACCGAAGGCTTACTATCAATTGCTAGTAATATCAATTGAATATAATAACGATGTGAGTATATATTATCACCATGTGCGAATATCCGTATATGTGCACACTTTAATGAATAGCGATTGAATGTAGAGAGTAGCAATAATGGTCCGTCCGTCCATCCATTCATTCATAAAATGCATCATGGCAAGAAAGCAAATGATTTTTTGATTTTGAAACAAATTTCTAGATCTTTCCTGCTATATATTGTTTGACAACAAGAAAAACAGAGGCATGCTATGTTGCCGTGTTTAAGTACATCGCAGAAAATTTGTTCAATATGCGACCGAGAAAAATAATGACAGACTACGAAACTGGCCTACGAGCCGCAATCAGAAAGTGTTGGCCCAAAGTCAGTCTGCACGGTTGTTGGTTTCATCTATGTAAGGCAATAAATAAAAGATGCCGAAAGTTGAGCATGACGAAACTTTTGAGAACAAATACTAATGCGAAAAGAATTCAAAAAGCCCTCATGAGTTTACCTTTACTTCCTGTGGATCAAATCATCGAAGGCTATGAATGCATCAAAGAACTAGCGCGACGAAAAAAATTGGTACAACGCTTCAAATCTCTATTCAATTATTTTGAACGTTATTGGTTAAAACAGGTTTGATATTTTATTTTATTTTGGCTAATAACTAAACACAATGAACCGACACAATTCTGTTTGACCATCCGTCCGTCCGAAGTACTTCGCAACAAGTTCATACGTCTCTCCCAAGTTTTCGAATTTTTTTCGGACGGCTGCATAAACCTAGGATGTCAGACATCCAGCTAATTCGGTATAAAGGATTTCAACATTTATACCAATTTTCTTCATTAGATATTGTGCATGTGTGTAAGAAAGATAATGTTGAAATCAGAAATAAGCTACTTTGGATGGGCAGATGGCTTAAAATGCGGGTATCCTTTGTCTGTCCATGTCCGTTGACACTTTTAATTGAAATTTATATGCATGATTTCATTCATAGAACGAAAGAAACACAATATCTGTTGCCGATTTGAACATGCGAACAACATCCCCACTGGAGGCCGTCAATTCTGTGATTCAGAGATCATTTCCTGGACAAACAAACATTTACAAATTCATTGAATCTCTCAGATTGTATGAATCTCGAAGATCAGAAGATTTGTTCAAGTTGTCGACCAGTGAGATTCGCAACAGGCAACCGCAACGAAAAAGAGCGGTGGATAAAGAACGAGAACAAAAAATTCAGTATTTCACAGCGCGATTGAAGAATGGAGAGATTTCCACTTCGATGTTTCTGGAATTAATGTCTGGAAAAGATGTGCTCCCACCCGTTGGTAATAAGTGTTTGAAAAAATTGAATGCAAGGCAAATTTTCACAGCAGTTTAATTGAATTTTACAGCATACAAAAGTTTAAGTCTACGAAGATCTTTGCGTATAGAAAACAAGAAGAACGATGCAGGCAGAAATCGCCAAAACACTTTGAATTTGCAGTCCTCTGATGCAGGGAGAAAAAGACGAAATGATTCACGTGCTCAACCCTCTGAAGAACCTCCACAAAAAAAGAAGAAGATCTGTGGTAGGAAGCGAAAAACACTAATTCAGAAGAGAAAGTGATGCAAATCACCATCCATTCACTGTTGTTTTGTTGAAACATCAATACAGCCAATCAC